CTAAGATGTGCCTGACCCAAGCCATAGTGTTTTCAATCGCCTCATATGCATGCGAAAGCTTGGCAACGAATAAGCAGGATCAAAGAAGAATTGATGTCTTTGAGTTATGGTGTTGGCAAAGAAGTTGAATATACCATGGACTGCCAGAAGAACGAACAAGTCTGTCTTGGAAGAATTACAGCCAGAATGCTCCTTAGAAGCAACGATGGTGAGACTTCACCTCGCATACTCTGGACCTGTTATCAGGAGGGACCAGTCCGTGAAGAGGGACATCATGCTCGGTAAAGTGGAGGGTCAACGAAGGAGAGGAAGACCCTCAATGAGATGGACTGACACAGTGGCTGCAACAATGGGCTCAAGCATAACAACAACCATGAGGATGGTGCAGGACCAGGCAGTGTTTTGTTCTGTTGTACATAGGGTCGCTATGAGTTAGAACCGACTTGACAGCACCTAACAACAACAACAACACAGGCAGCTGCTGTTTGACAAAGGGTCAAGCTCCATTCAATGGGGAAAGAAACAGTCTCTTTAACAAATGATGCTGGCAAAATTGGATATCTATATGCACAAAAATGAATCAGGATCCATACCTCACATCATGCACAAAAACTAATTCAGAATGGCTCAAAGACCTAAATGTTAAAGTTAAAACCATGAAGTTCCTGGAAGAAAACATAGAGTCAAAACTAGGGGACCTATTCCTTAGCATAAATAGAATATCAAAAAAAGCAAAAATGCACAAACGACAGAAGATAAATAACTGGGACCTCCTAAAAATTAAATATGTATGCTCATCAGAAGACTTTACCTAGAGAATAAAAAGAGAACCTACAGACTGGGAAAAAATCTTTGGAAAAAACATATCTGATAAGGGTCTAATCTCTAAAATATATTAAAAAAAACTTCAACAACTCAACAAAAAAAGAAACAATCCAATCAAAAAATGGTCAAAGGACATGAACAGACAAGTCACCAAAGAGGACATTCAGGTGGCCAACAAATACATGAAAAGATCCTTGCAATCATTAGCCATTACAGAGATGCAAATCAAAACTACAATGAGATACCATCTCACCCCTGAAAAAATGGCAATGATCAAAAAAACGGAAAACAACAAATCCTGGCAAGGTTGTGGGGAGACTGGAACTCTTTCACATTGCCGGTGGGAATGTAAAATGATACAACCACTACGGAAAACAGTATGGCACTTCCCTCAAAATGCTAGAAATAGAAATACCTTATGATCCAGCAATCCCACTCCTAGGACTATATCCTACAGAAATAAGAGCAGTGACAGAAATAGACATATGCACACCTATGTTCATTGCAGCATTATTCACAATAGCAAAAAGATGGAAACAACCTAAGTGCCCATCAACTGATGAATGGATAAACAAACTGTGGTACATACATACAATGGAATACTACACAAACTATAAAGAATAATGAGGAGTCTGCAAAACATCTTATAATGTCGATGAATCTGGAGGACATTATCCTGAGTGAAATAAGTCAATCACAAAAGGACAAATACTGTATGGCATTGATTTTATGAAAAATCAAGAATAGGTATACACACAAAGCAACGTCCTTTGATGGTTACCAGGAATGGTAGGGGGAGAGACTACTACCCTATCACTTTCTACATAACAGAAACTTGTTATTTTTGGTGATGGGAAAGGCAATACTAAATATGGGTGAAGTCTGCACAACTCGTCCAAAGTAAGTGAAGACACTAAGTAGTGCATAAGAATAATGGGCAACTTTGGTAAAAAAATGTTAACAGACAATTCTGCAACAGCGATAATAACAACCAATAAAATATATGGGTGGTTACACGGGCAGATGGGAGTTGTTCAATAAATGGCTTGTATGAATGAATGATTTACTGAATGAATGAATACACCAATGAATGAATAGCCTATTTTGAAATTTCATCCTGAATAATCTCTTATTATTCAAGAAGGGGGAAAGAAACTCTCTTATTTCTCTTTTCTACCACATAGTCCTTTGTTCCTAATTCAGGTTAATACTAGCGCTACTATTCTAGTTCCACTGTTGGCTTAAAAGGCATTTTATGGGCTCATCACCATTTCTAATATTAAAGTAATATGAATTCTAAGTTCTGTGAAACTGACATATGAATCAACATTCCACATAACACAACTTGGTGACAATTTTGTAAATTTATGTACTTAAAATATTTATAATAATAGATTTACATCTTCCTAGGTTGTTTTCAATTACAGAATTGAATGTTTCTTATTATATTTAAGATGTAGCAATAATGGAACCAAACTGGCAACGCAAACTCACTTGTCAAACATCCTTCCACTCCCAATTCCCCACAATGCCATCAATATAAAGGGGGAATTCTATACCACTACTAGAAACTAAAGGAGGGTCTTATCTGAATTTTCAAGAAATTTTAGGGGAAAATGGGGCAGGTGGTAGCACAGTGATGATAAGTAACACCTGGCCATCAACCACCATATACAAGGGTAGAGCCCATCGTGAGGAGTAAGTAAAGAATTTAAACTGATGTCAGCTTGAGGAACATCTCCTGGACTGTACTGAAGATAAGTCAAAGAAAGAACTAAGAAATAAATTCCAAATCTTCTTAAACTTCTAACCTATTCCAAAGACTACAAAGAAAGGGGATGCTGTGGCCCAAACACAGCCTACACACAAAGGCTACAGGTGGATGGATGGTCTGTGAAGCTATTAGCAGTTATCAGGTACCTTGCTGGAGGATCAGGCTGCTGCCTTTAATTGTCTCTGAGCTGCAAAGGCCAATATAAGAGAGATATCTCAAATAAAGGTTACACTCATTGGTCAAATACTTGCCTTCCTCTGTTAACGGCTCTGTCCCTAACTTGTACAAACCCTTGGATCTCTATACTGCCAAAGGAAAAAATTACAATAAATTCAAAGGGTTCTCTTTCTTTTTACTAAGGATTGAAAGAACTGAGAGGTGACTGACACAATTCGGCAACACGTGTATCCTGAGCATTGATGTCTATGTCACAAAGACATTTGTCACTTTTAGAAATAATTATACGCATTATGTTTATATAATATTTATTTATATAAATATATATATATAATTTATATATATACACACAAAAACCAAAATAACAATAATGGAGACAGATTTGACCACATAAAAATTAAAATCTTCTAAATATGAAAACCATTTATAAACTATGACAGATTTTATCTTCAATATACCTGATTATTAATAGCCATCATATAAAAAATGGCTTATTAATCAATGACAAATACACATATCAATATAAAACAATCTTTAGAGAACAATGGGTAGTTAATTTATAATTAAAAACAAAAAACAAAACAAATGAACATTTACATATGAAAAAATGCTTTGCCTCACTAGAAATCAAGAGAAATGTAAATTATCAGATACTATTTTTTGTCCATTAATTTCAAAAAAAGAACTATCTAGAACTGGTTATAACATATGGAAAAAAGCATTCTCAGACATTACTGGTTTAGGCATATGTTTGCAAGCTTGGGCTCACTATCTTGCATCTTTGTTAATATCATGAGAAAAGTTTCACCCAGGTGGCTGCAGCCCCTTCATCTAGGACCCCAGAATATACATGGAGCAGATTAGAGCCCCACCGACAGCAAGGAGCAACAAGGAGCAAACCCAGCCAGTCCTGCAGCTTGAAGATCTGCCCAGCAGAGCCCAGTCCAGATCAACCACCACCAGTAAACCCACAAATGCATGGAAAATATATATTTATTGTTGTGTACCACTAGATTGTGTGGTTGTTTGTTTTGCAGCATTATTGTGGCAATAGTAACCAATATATTATATCTGGGTAAGGAGTTGATAGTGATTTTTAACTTCTTTCTTTGTACTTTTTCTACTGACTAGGTATTTTAGCACGTGTTACTTTTATAATCAGAAAAAGCTATATTTATTATGAGAAAAAGAAGAGGGCGCAAAAAAGGTTATTTATATATACATACTGTTTTAGATGATCATTGGCAAGAGCCACTCTATCCCTGTGGCGTTTTTCGGCTTTCTCTTGTTCTTCTTTAAAAGCTTTTTCAGTGTTGAGTTTCAGCTGTTCCTCCCATTTTTTATCTGATTTTATTTTACTCTTTTGGAATTCAATCTGGGCATCACGTTCTTTCATAACTCTACTAAGAAGAAGTCCTGACTTAAAACAAAAATAAAAAAAGGAGTACTTTAAGAAAATAAAGTATAATTATGTATAGTAATACAACAAAATCCAAGTAGTACATGAAAGTTTTTCACTCTCTCTGTCTGATAAAACTGACATTGCCTTGCATTTTCAATGGCTTTTTTTCTTTCTCCTTGTTTATGTATTGCTTCTTCCATATCAAGCATTTGTCTTTCTGCCTCTACTTCTTCATCACGCTTCTTTTTGGCTTCAAGTTTCTGTTCTTTCATCCCCTGTAAAACAGACAAAAGCAATATTGTGTCTTCATTTTCCAATTCAATTTTACAGAAGTGAAACATTATGTGATAATCTAAGCTTTCATTATGAACTTCTAATGTCTTTGCATATATCATTAAAAAATAAAAAATATGTGGTTATATTTATAAGCTAATTTTTTTTTTATTGTACTTCAGGTGAAGGTTTACAGAACACATAGTTTCTCATGAAACAGTAGTACACATATTGTTTTATGACATTGGTTAACAACCCCACAACATGTCAACCCTCTCCCTTCTCGACCTTTTTTTTTTTTGGTGAAAATATACATAGCCAAAGATACACCATTTCAAAAATTTCTACATGCACGGTTCAGTGACATTGACTACGCTCTTCCAATTGTGCTGCTATTCTCACTTTAGATGAAGGCTTACAGAACAAAACAGTTTCTCATTTAACAGTTAGTACACATGTTGCCCTATGACAATGGTTAACAACCTCACAACACGTCAACACTATCCTTACTCAACCTTGGGTTCCCTATCACCATATAAGCTAATTTTTTAACTGAATTTTTTAGGTAGTATACATTTACATGGTTCAAAAATCCCCAAATATTATAGAGGTATACAGTGAAACTTCTTCCTCTAACCCTAACTTCCATATGCAATCTCCTCTCACTCCGATGTAACCACTATTACTACTTCCAAAGTTCCACTCTGTGTTTACATAATAAACATACATCTTTGTATTTTTGCTTGTTTAAAAAACCAACAGTAGCATATTTTACATGCTCTTCTACACTTCTGAGGACTCTACTCAATGCCCCATATCCTATGAGGTCTTTCCACCCTTTATTCTCCATTATGGGTCATAATTTCTACATCTTGTTTAAGAACTCCTTACTCTGATACCCTAAAGATACCTGTATATGATTTATTTTAAAAGTTTCATTGTTTTGCTTTTTACATTTATGTGTTTAATCCAGCTGAATTTCATTTTTGCGTATTCTATGCTGTAGGGATGTAATTCCATCTTTTTTATATGCACAGCCAATTATCCCAGTATCAGTTATTGAATTTTCCCTTCTGATTTGCAGTATTTCTGTCATATGTCAAGTTCCCATATATAACAAAAGTCTGTTTATAGTCTCTCTCATCTATTATTTTGTCTATTTCTGTACTCAGATCACAGTTTTAACTACTATAGGTTTACAGTATGTTTCGCTGTTGGTGAAATGAATCTTCCTTTATTATCATTATTCTTTGATACCCATGGAGGTGTAGAGCATTATGCATAGTGTGCTACTTCTGTGTAAAAAAAAAAAAAAATGGAGGGTATATATTCCACCCCCAATCCTTTTATAGATCAGGGCTTTTTTTCCAATAAGATTTGTTGGGATATAATATACATATGCCCTTTACACTGTACAGTTTTATGAATGCATATACTTGTGTATATAACAGTTCCATCCTCCAAAAAAATTCCCTTGTGTCCATTTATAGTCAAACCCTCTTCTCACCTGCAGCCCCTGAAAACTGCTGATCTTTTTCTTTCCCTATAGTTTTGCCTTTTTCAGGATGTCGTATATGACATATATGATACCAGTCGTGATACAATTTTTCCCTCTTCTAGAAAAAAAAAACTAATAAATTGTGAACATAGTTTCTAAAGCAAGGTACCACAAACTTTCTAAGTCCCTTCCTAAAAAATAAACAATGTATATTGCAACAAAGAAAGGAAATGTGCAATGATAAAGAAAAATCCTCTGAGAACTCTCTGAACAAAAATTATGCTTGCATGTAGTTTTAGTAATTCTTTTAGAAAGTAAGAAAGAAAGAAAAAACCTCCCTCTCGGTGCCTAAAACAACATAGGAAAGTGGAATGAGGGACAGGGTCACCATATCCCAGCATTTCTCCCCACTTTGAAGTGGTTTCCCATTCATGCACATGGAATTTGATTGTACCCATATTTCGGGTATAGCAAGAGAATCTAGCAGAAGCACAGAGAGTAGCACAGCAAAGACACTATGCAGTGCCAGAGACAGGCAGACACACAGACAAATCAGGGGCAGATAGAGAAGCTGCCTTGGTTCCCAAGAGTTTCAAGTTCTCTGTCTTTATGTGTAATGCTGCATCACTTTTGACTTAAGATAACTGGAATAAGGTTATGTTTTCTATAACCAAAACATCCATGACTAGAATAATAGGCCATAGATCTAACACAAGATGGCAATGTTAGTGCTTTAAAAACAAAACGTTATGACATTTTAAAGATCTAGGTTCACTATATTTGAAAGGTCAGTAAATTATCCTCAAAAGAAACAACCCCAAAACCCACTGCCATTGAGTCGATTCCAACTCATAGCGACCCTATAGTACAGAGCAGAACTGCCCCATAGGTCTCCAAGGCTGTAATCTTTATAGAGCAGACTGCCACATAGTTCTCCCACAGAGTAGCTGGTGGGTTTGAACTGTCAACCTTTCGGTTAGCAGCCAAGCGCTTAACCACTGCACCACCAGGGCTCCTCCAAAAGAAACAAATCAGACTTAAAAAAAAAAAGAAAAATGGTACTATCTCCCTAATATAAAACTAATAATATTTTAGCCAAAAATTTTCCGATTTTAATTTATTAAAGGCTTATGAGATACAGGTACCATATGAAGCACATACTTTTCATACATTCTCAGAGCAACTCAATAGAGTTAATTACCATAATTTGCCCATTTTACAAATGAAGAAATAGACCACAACATTCTAAGATGGCCCCCACGATCTCTGCCCGTTGGTATTATAGCCTGTATAATTCCCTCCCCTTGAGTGTAGTGAGGACCTGTGGTTTACTTTTAACCAGTAGAATATGCAAAAGTTGATAGAATGTCTCTTCCATTATATATGTACATATATATCATAACCTAATCATGGGAGTGATATCCCATCACCTTTTATATATATCTCGTAACATTTAATATATATATGGCTGTCTGCTAGCACAAACAGAGACTCTCCTGCTCATCTTGAAGAAACAAACTGCAATGTTGTGAACTGCCTATGGAAAGGGCAGTTCCCTATGGCAGGGAACTACAGGCAGCCTTTGCAGTCTGAGGAAGCTTCCACCTAACAGCCAGTAAGAATCCAGTACCCGAAGTCATACAACTACAAGAAAATGAATTCTGCTGACAACATGAATGGCTTAGAAGCAGACTCTTCCTCAGTCAGGACTCCAGATAAGAATGCAGCTCAGCCAACACCTTGACTGCAGCATTATGAGAACCTGACAGAGGGCACAATTAAGCCATGCCTGAACTTCTGACCCACTGAACTTGTGAAATAATAAACATCAGTCGTTTTAAGGTGCTAAGCTTGTACGAATTTGTTATGCAGCAACAGGTAACTAATAAAACAGCTATTAAGAGGCAGAGCTGAGACGTACATCCAGGCAACCTGACTCCTATAGGCCAATATATTAACTACAATGCTATATTTTATCCCCATTATTTTCATTTAAAAATGTGTACTATAATTCAGGCACACTCTTTAGACTGTACTATAGAAAGGCTCTGAATTATTAAATTCAGATGGTTTTCAAGACTTAGGCTGATTAGTCAGATCTATCTTTTAGAATATTCATCTTAAAAGCAAACAGTATACTGCAAAGATCAACTATATCTAAAATTTTATATACATCAGCTGTGTTTCAATGGGACTTCCACTTTGGGCCAAGATGGAGTAGCAGGGACTGGATTTACCATTCTGCCTGAAGCAACTAAAAAATAAAAAATATATGCAAAAAAGGGTTTTCAAGACATTGGACATCAGACAACGATCCCTGAGAGAGAAGAAACAAACGTGGTAAGCCCTACAACTGCACCTGGTTGTTGCCTTGGGAGTTTCCAGACCATGGTGCAGAGAGAGGACAGAGCATGGTAGACTCCATGAGTTAGGGAAACAGAGCCAAGAGTCCTAGGAGACCAAGATGGCTACAGATCACAGGTCTGAATACTGGAGAGGAGAGAGCTTCACAGAAAGAATTCCAAAGATCTGCAAAAGGTCCCCCTTGTGTACTCAGCAGAGTACTGATCACTGCATGCATATGAGGAAAGTGCCTAAGGCCACAGAAAGAAGACCCAAAAGGGTTAGAGGAAGTAGTACCAGTAATTTCACAGAGGTGGGAAAAATACTTGCTCCATCGGCCAGACTGAAAAATTCACAGTACATTATGTAGAATATTCAGTAGAGTCATGCCTCACTAGTAATAATTAGCCCCACCCAGATCAAATACTGCTCTGATCCCACCTAACAAATATTACAAACAAGACCCAAAAGGATCAAACTGTTTCCAAGTTATTTAACTGTGATAAAGATTTATAAGGATATGAAAATAGGCACCCTGCCAGGTAAAATTCACAATGTTTAACATCTAATCAAAAACTACCAGGCATGCAAAGAAGCAGGAAAATTTGGCTCATCATGAGGAAAATCAATTGAAATCAACCAGAAGTGACACAGGTGTTAAAATTAGCAGACAAGAAAATTAAAACATTATATATTATAACTGTATTCCATATTTTCAAAAAGTTAGAGAAAATGTTGAACATGTTAAGTAGAGACATGAAATTTTTTTTAAAGAGCCAAATCAAACTTCTAGTGATAGAAACTGCAATGTGTGAGATGAAAAATACACTGATGGGATTAATGTCACATTAGACATTGTAGCAGATAAAATTAGTGAACACAAAGATATAGAAATATGAACTATCCAAAATGAAACAGAAAAAAAAAAAAGACAAAAAATAGAAGATTAAAAAAAAAGGCATCTGTGGATGCTAATCTATAATAATAGAAAGCAGATCAGTACTTGCCTAGGGACAGTGGAAGAGGAGCAGAGAAAAGGGAAAAGGAGTGTCATGGATTGAATTATGTCCCCCCAAAAATGTGTGTATCAGTTCGGCTAGGCCATGATTCCCAGTATTGTGTGGTTGTCCTCCATTTTGTGACTGTAATTTTATGTTAAAGAGGATTAGGGTGGGACTGTAACACCCTTACTAAGGTCACATCCCTGATCCAATGTAAAAGGAGTTTCCCTGGGGAAACAAGAGATAAAAGGAAAAGGAAGCAAGCAGAGAGTTGGAGACCTCACACCACCAAGAAAGCAGTGCTAGGAGCAGGGCGTGTCCTTTAGACCTGAGGTTCCTGTGCTGAGATATTCCCATACCAAAGGAAGATTGATGACAAGGACCTTCCTCCAGAGCTTACAGAGAAAGCCTTCCCCTGGAGCTGATGCCCTGAATTTGGACTTGTAGACTACCGGACTGTGAGAGAATAAATTTATCTTTGTTAAAGCCATCCACTTGTGGTATTTCTGTTAGAGCAGTACTAGATGACTAAGACATGGAGTAAAACAGGGCATGAGGAAACTTTCGGTTAATGAGTATATTTATATTTATTACCTTACTTGTGATGATGATTTCACTAATGTATACACATGTCAAAAATTATCAAATTATACACTTTAAATAAGTACCATTTATTATATTTTAGGAGTCCTGGGGTGGTGCACATGATTAACATGTGTGGCTGCTAACCAAAAGACTGGTGTTTCGAGTCTACCCAGAGGTGCCTTGGAAAAAAGGCTTGGTGATCTACTTCCAAAAAATCAGTCATTGAAAACCCTATGGAGCACAGTTCTATTTTGGCAAACATGGAGTCGCCAGGAGTTGGAATCTACTCAACAGCAACTGATTTGGTTTTTTGGTTTATTGTACGTCAGTTATACCTCAGTTAAGCCATTAAAATATGTTTCAATGCATTTTTACGATATTTTACATATGGAAATATTTATAAAAGAAGCATATAAAAGAGAACTAAGACACAAGACTAAGTCTTCAGTACACGCATTCTCCTTAGTGGTTAATACTTACTGCATATGTATTAGTCCAGTGTTTTACTACCTCCTGGGATCGGAAATGCATTTCTTTCTTTGCCTTTCTTTCTGCACGAAGGCATGCTGCTTCTCTTGTCAAACTGTCAAGGCTATCTTTAATCCTTTTCCACTCGTTGTGTGGAATTATGGTGACCTGATGGAGATCTACTTTGCTAGGTAGAAGAGGTGGATAAAGAACTTGCTCTTCCTTAGAGTTCTTCATTTCTAATAAATTAAAAAAAATAAATATTAAAGACTTTCAAGAAGAGTTTAAATCATTTTTTTTTAATATTGGCATGTTAAGTGTCTGATATCTGGAAGTTATTTCAAATATTTAAATTTCATTCTTGTTATCTTAAGAACAGCTGTGATTAAATGGGTACAGTATAAGGCCTTCAAATCAGAAGACAGAGATTTGAATCCTTGTTTGGTTATTTCCTTACTGTGTAAACTTGGACAAGCCATTTAACTCTTGGAGCCTCAGTATCCTCATCTGTAAAGTTGAGATCCTCCACGGGTTGTGATAAAAACATTTTTCAAAGTTAAACAAGTAGCAGTTTATAAATGAATTACTTTGAGGATGCTCATCTTTTGGGGTTGTAGATGTTGTGATTGACTCTATTCCACCCATTCCTCATTCAGCAACAGCAGTTTAAGAATATTTGCATTTCCCTTGCCAACAATTAGTTCTATGAAGGGCAAAGAAAGAGAAGAGGTTTATTTGAGATTTTTAGAAAAGTCCTTCCTTGTTCTTCTGGGAGAGTAACTCTCAAGCTAGATATGTACAAGGTACCATGAAGGCTAGATAGGCAGCAATCCTATGACCACAAGAGAAACTAGCCTTAGGATGAAGCTATTATTGAGAACTACAAAGAAACAAAAAAAGAACCTGGGGCAATGATGACCTCATTGAGCTATCAGACCAACCCGACCTAAAGCACGGAATTCCAGTTACAGCCTAGTGGGTATGAAGAGGTATTTCCTTGTGGTTTTGATTTGCATTTCCCTAATGACTAATGGGAAACCCTGGTGGCATAGTGGTTAAGAGCTACGGCTGCTAACCAAAAGGTCGGCAGTTCAAATCCACCAGGCACTCCTTGGAAACTGTGAGGCAGTTCTGCTTTGTTCTGTAGGGTCACTGTGAGTCAGAATGGACTCGACAGCAATGGGTTGATGACTAATGAGAAGCCCTGGTGGCCCAGTGATTAAGAGTTTGGCTGTGAACCAAAAGGTCAGCAGTTCAAATCCACCTGCTGTTCCTTGGAAACCCTATGGGACAGTTCTACTCTGCCGTATAGGGTCACTATGAGTCAGAATCAACTCGATGGCAACAGGTTTTTTGTGCTAATAACTAATGATGTTGAGCATCTTTTCTTGTGCTTATTGGCCATTTATATCTTCTTTGGAGAAATGTCTATTCAAATCCTTTACCTGTGTTCTAATTGGGTTATCTTTTTATTGTTGAGTTATAACAGTTCTTTATATCCTGGATACTAGACACTAATCAGACACATAATTTGGAAATATTTTCTCCTCTGTGGGTTGTCTTTTCATTTCTTTATATAGTGTCCTTTCACATTCAAAAATTTAAAATTTTAAAGAAGTCCAGATCTATTTTTTCTTTGGCTGATTGTGCCTTGGGTGTCATATCTAAGAAATTACTGCCTAACGCAAGGTCATGAACATTTAAAACTAAGTTTTCTTCTCAGAGTTTTATAGTTTTAGCTCTTACATTTATAGCCTATCACATGGTCTATCCTGAAGATGTTCCATGTGGACTTGAGAAAAATATTTATTTGCTCTTGTTGGGTGAAGTGTTCTATAGACGTCTGCAAGGTATAGTTGGTTTACAGTGAGCTCGAGTCTTCCATTTCCTTGTTGATCTTCTGTCTAGTTGTTCTACACATTATTGAAAGTGGGGTATTAAAGTTTCCAACTATTATTTTTATTTATTTTTCCCTTCATTCTGTCACTTCTTGCTTTACATACTGTGGGGCTCTGTTGTCAAGTGTATAAATGTTTATAGCTGTTTTATCTTCTTGATAGATTGACCTTTTTATCAGTATAAAATATCCTTTTTTGTCTCGAGTAACAATTTTTCTTTTAAAGTCTATTTTGTCTGATATTAGCAGGCCAGCTCTTTTTTGGTTACCATCAGCATTGTGTATTTGTGTCTTTGAATCTAATGTGAGTCTCTTGCAGACAACATATCACTGGACCATATTTTTTTTTATCCATTCTGTCAATCTCTGTCTTTTGATTGGAGTGTTTAATCAATTTACATTTAATGTAATTACTGATAAGGCAGGATTTATGTCTGCCATTTTTCTATTTGTTTTCTATATACCTTAGGACTTTTTGTTCCTCTCTTCTTCCATTACTGGCCACTTTGTGTTAAATATTTTCTATTGTACCATTTTGATACCCTTCTCGTTCCTTTTACTATACTTTTTTTCTTAATGGTTGCCCTGAGATTAAATTAATATCTTAAATTATAACAGTCTAGATCAGCTTAACACTAACTGCAATAGTTTACAAAAACTTTGCTACTATATTGCTCCATTTCCTCACGCATCCTTTGAGCTATTATCAACATACAAATTACACCTTTATACATTGTAAGCCCATCAACACAGATTTATAATTATTGTTGTATACAGTTGTCTTTTAAATTGGATAGAGAAAAAGAGGATTACAAACAAAAAATACCTTTATACTGTCTTTTCTATTTACCTTTACTGGTATTCTTTATTTATGTAGATTCAAGTTACAGTCTAGTGTCCTTTCATTTCAGCATGAAGGACTTTATTATTTCTCGTAGCGTAGGTCTGGTAGTGATGAATTCACTCCGTTTTTGCTTAGCTGGGAACATCTTAATTTTTCCCTCATTTTTTAAAAATAGTTTTGATGGATATAGAGTTCTTGCTTAACAGCCTTTTTCTTCCAGCACTCTGAATATGTCAATCCTCTGCCTTGTGGCCTCTGTGGTTTCTTACGAGAAACCAGCAGTTCATCTTATTGAGGATCCTTGCATGTGATTAGTCATTTTTATCTTGCCGCTTTCAAGATTTTCTCTTTGTCTTTGACTTTCAACAATTTGATTATGATGTGTCTAGGTGTGGAGCTCTTTGAATTTATGTTACTTACAGCACATTGAGTTTCTTGGATGTATAATGTTTTTCATCAAATTTGAGACGTTTTCAGCCATTATTTCTTCAAATATTCTTTCTGCCTCCTTAGCTCTCACCATTCCTTCTGGGACTCGTACTATACATATGCTAGTATACTTAATGGTGCCCTACATGTCTCTGAAATTCTGTTCACTTTTCTTCATTCTTTTTTCTCTCTGTTCCTCAGACTAGAAATTCTCAGTGGATTTATAATTCACTGATTCTTCTGCAAACTCAAATCCGCAGGGCTTGAGCCCTTCTAGGGGATTTTTTATTTTAGTTATTATGCTTTTCAACTCCAGAATTTCTATATTTATAATTTCTATCTCTTTATTGATATTCTCTGTTTAGTAAGATATCATTCTCATATTTTCCTGTAGTTCTTTAGATCTTCTTTCCTTTTTTTAAAGTTGTTTGAACATATTTGAACTAGCTGATTTAAAGTTTTGTATACTAAGTCTGACATCTGGGTTTCCTTAAAGTTTTTTATTGAAACTTTTTTCCTGTGTATGGGCCATACTTCCTTGTTTCATCGTATGCCATGTAATTTTTTGTTTAAAACTGGAGATTTTAAATAATATCATGAGAAAACAGTGGAAATCAGATTACCCCCGACCCCAACGGTTTCTTGTTTCTGCTATAGGTGCTTACTTATTTAGTGACTTTTCTGAGCTAATTCTGTAAAGTCTATATTCTTTGTCGTATGTGGTGTCTAGAGTTTCTGCTTGGTTAGTTTAATGGTCAGCTAATGATTGAATAGAGATGTCCTTAAATGTGTGGAGCCAATAAGTCTCTCAGTCTTTGCCCAGAGGCTCTCTGTGAGTGTTAGGGCATGCCTTCAATGCTTAGGATGGCAGTTTACAACTCCATCTTAGACTTTACTTCTTGCTTGTACAGAGCCTCAAGGTCAGCCAGAGATGAGAGCTTCAGGCCTTCTTAGGTCTTTCCTGGGCGTTCGCACAGCCCTATGCATGCTTCTGACCGTCTAGATTTCCAGGAATATGTTAGAGCTTTTCAAAGCTGCCTCTGGACGTCTCACTTCCCAGCTTTTCCTTTTAAGTTTTTTTAGTCAGTTTGTTGTTTGCCCCCAGCTGTTATCACTGCCTGAGGCAGCTGTGATCTTAAACAACTACCACTGATTGTTTTTAATGAATACCACCGGCTGTTCACACTGGGTGAGCCCTGAATTAAGTCAAATAAAACAAGCTTTGTGAATGGGATTTTCCAGAGAATTACCAGACAGGTAAAATAATTATTGGACATTGGGCTTTAGAGCAGCTCCATCTCCATTCTATCCCCTTCAGAGGCTGCTGGTTTTCACTCTAACTGCAGTGGTTTTCAAGCCTACCAGGGGAATTGGAGAGGAGGATGGGACCACGACAAGCTCAAAACATCAAAAAACGTCTGTGTTCTTTTTACCAAATTTGTTATGAAATTCAGCCATTAAAAAAAAAAAAAACACCCTCCAAATTGTTTCAAGCCTTTAGTTAACTTCCATAGTTCTGAAAAGGTTGATTTTTATGGGTTTTTCCAGTGTTCTGATTTTACAGAGGAGAGTACCTTCGGAGGTCCTTACTCCATAATCCTGGTTGACGTCATCCTGCTAAAACTTTATATAATGATTTGGATTACAGATAGCTATCTACATATCTGAACCCCTCTCCGATTTCACCCTCCTCTAAATGGAGATTGTAATTTAGCAATGAGGAAAAGGGCATTTCACTTCAGATAGCAACTTGTGGGCCAGTTGCCACAAAACATTATTTAATACCTAACGAGGAAAAGTCTTTTAGTGCAGTACTACATATATATGAAAGTGAATATGTGAGAGCAATTATCTTTTTACAATATATGTCACATGGGTACTATCTTCGACAGGACCTCTGCTGCTGCTTCGTAAGGCCTCCACTGCACGAATATACTCTAGTGTCCATTGGTGGGAAAATGGCTGGCTCTCACTCTGCATCTGGGGCAAGCAAGGCTCTACTAGTACAGAAGCTTGTGCAATGACATGAAGAGAGTCCAATTTCCCAAAGTTCTAGCTGTCATAATGACAATAATATTAACTGGGAATTTTCAACAGACCATCTGAATTATAAGACTTTAAATAGCATTTTCTTTTTACATTCTATCAAAACACTTGATTTGGGGAGAGACCTTACCTGCACTTTAAACCAAAAAACCAAAACCGTTGCCATGGAGTGGATTCCAACTCACAGCGACCCTACAGGACAGAGGAGAACTGCCCCATAGGGTTTCCAAGGAGCGGTTGGTGGATTCAAACTGCTGACCTTCTGGTTAGCAGCTGAACGCTTAACCACTGCGCCACCAGGGCTCCTACCTTCACTTTAGAGATGAGGAAATTGAGACATTTCCTTCAGACACATACCTAAGACCACTCAGCAGGTTCACAGCAGAGTCAAGACTCTACAGAGGTCATTGATATTTCTAAAAGTTATTCCATTAATTCAGAGGAAAAGTAAGAACAAGCAGCAATTCAACAAACCCCAGACTCTCCAAGCCGCAACGGTGAGGCCTGAGGATAGGACCAGTCAATCAGCTGGGGGGTCTCTGTCTTCCTATCTCTTCTCCACCGCTATTTCTGTAAACTTCCTCCCTCGCCCTCCACCTTCCCTTTACGTTTTCCACTCACACACTAGAGAGCAAAACCGTCTGATGCCCGTCGGGGCCACTTTCGACTTGGTGAAGACCATGTCAGAAGGCATCTGAGACCCTAGACTGGCACCCTCGCCTCTCACCCCATGCGAGGGTCCCGAAATAATCCCCTGTGCTGGGATAGCCCAGTTTAGCTCACCCGTGCTTTCCTTAACCTGTCCACAGCGCCGCCCAAACCGCACCAGCATCTCTGACGAGGTGCCCATGGCGCTCCGAGACCTGGAAAAGATGCTGGTGCGCCTACCGTGGCGCCCTCTGCCTAACCGAATGTTTTCAAAACTGTGCGGTCCCTTAGCAACGCCGCAGGAAGTGACGCCAAGCGTCGCCGAGGAACGAGAAACGCGCTGGTTTGGGCTGTGGGGAACGGGAATAGAGACTGCGCCTGCGCGGAAGCTGAGTCCGGTTCTGTGAGTGGAGCGGCCTGCTGGGTCGCAGACCGGCGCGGGAGCAAGGCCGAAAACACGAACCCACGAGAGCGGGGGAGGACAACAGGACGGCTGCCAGCGCCAGACCTGGGTCAGTGAGGAGTCTCCGGGACCCAGCCCGCCTGCTGCTCCCATCCTCACCTGGCACGGCGTCTCATGGGGGACGACACCATGTTAGGGCCCCGCGCCCGCCTTCGGGACGGACCAGGCAGGTGCGTGAGAGAGCGAGCCCTCGGCTCGGTGTTTTTTCGGCCCACAGACCTCCTCGCGGGTGGAAAGTGAAGGACAACGCCCTCTTTTTAAGTATAGAAATCCAGAGATTAACATAAAATCTGTTTATAAATCCTTTGGTTTTCTGAGGCATGGTCAGGGCTAGATGGGGCTAAGTTTAAAAAAAAAAAATGTATTAAAACTTTGATGTTGCTCCCAGAACATTCATGTTAGGACCTTTAAGATATTTTAAATTGCTTGATAAGTAGATATACGAAATTGAGAGAATGGATTTTGGAGACCAGTCACAACTCTTAAGGGCACAAAAATCTGGCAAGAATGAATGACGAGTTGGTTTCAAAAGATCTTTTTCTCCCACATTTAATGTGTAAATTGATTTCATTAAAAGCTAGTTGGATCCAGCACGTGCACATTAAGCACCAAATTGAATCGCTCAAAAAGAAAAGAAGTAAGGTTTTTAATAATTAAAATTCTAACATGTAGTTGTACTATTTTTCTTTAAGTTTGCTATCAGATGCCCCGGCATAATGATACTGGTAAGTATGGAAGGATTAATAAAATATTTGTAGAATAAATAAATGTTATTACAAAATCAGAAATGATTTTCTGCATATACAACACTGGTGCTTTTTAAAAAATGGGAGGGGTCAAACATTTTATCTTACTTACAGGCTAAGTTATCCTGCCACAGTTTCATAGATGCTGGCAGTAGATAACAAGACTTCTGGATCAGAGAGGAATTACTTGTGGCAGTAGCAGTAGCCAGTGTATCAGCAATTTTGTGCCAGTTCCCCAAGCCCCACTTCCCCCAGGGTAATGCAAAGAGGGCCAAGTGTCACCTGCATCTCTGGTTCCTACAGGGAAGGAACCCTTAGCTTAGGGAACCTGAATCTTTATTATAATGAACAGTAAGTATGCTTCCCAAGGCTGTTCACTATGCAAATAGCCTTGGAAAAATAGTTCCGAACAAAGGGCAGTCCTTTGCCTATAAAACATGCAGAACCATGAGAGACCCAAGAAGAATTATCTCCCAACAAAAACTCTGGAATTTTAACTAAATTACGTATGAAAAGTATTGAATCTCATAAGATCATAAGATCTGATGTCAGTAATTTGCCATTTACATGGTTGTCAGATAACATTTGACTTCGAAGGCCTGTTGTCTTACCAAAAGATCCTCACAACCAAGTTGATCTACAGTTATTTGTCCCTCGTTTTTTTCTTTGTTGCAAATTTAGGGAGGTAGAATATGCACTCTGATCTGATACAGTTTAAATTATTCTGGGGGAAAAATGTTATTATAGAATCAGTGTAGAAAAAGTATAAACTACAATTGAGCCATCAATAACCCACTACAGTACACATAGACATTTTTTAAACAAAAATGGGATTATTCCAACTCCTTATTTATTGACTCTCTCCTTAGCCAACATTTCGCATTTACAACAGTAATAAAAAATCTACTATTTGACTATTTTGTGCATTTAACAAGGTATGTCTGGCAGTAATGAATGCGGAGGTGCGAGATGAGAGTAACACTGGCTGTGATGGTTAAGGTTATGTATCAATTTGGCTGGGTCATGAATCTCAGTGGTTTGGCGGTTATGTAATGATGTAGTCATCCTCCATTTTCACATAACACGGATTTTCACATAACGGCCTGGTCTTTGGAACCTAACCATATCAGTAAGTGAGGAGTGGGTATGTACCGTACAGACTGTTTTGTGGCTTTCTTGTTTAATTTAAAACTTAGCATTTTAACTTTTATTGGCTGAATTATATGGCTTTAACATACATACTTTTATTTAACCAATCCCTAATTGGATATCTATGTAATTTCTATTTTTCATTATTGTAAAAAGCACATGGAGTTTTATAAGACTATAGAAAGATTGTAGACATAACAAATATATACTATTCATACTTTTGAAGAGAATTGTTTTTGGAATTTTACTGAATTGATTACAAAATAGATTTACATCTATATAACTGTCTTTGTGCACATCCTTAATTTTTGGAGACATTTTTATTTCAAGTACAGCATAAAATCCCTGAATATTTATTAACAACAGAATGTGGTAGTCCTCGTTTTTTTTAATAATTTATTTTTTGTGGTTGTTGAAAAGATACATAGCAGTACACCCGTGTGACAATTTCTACATGTGCAATTCAGTGACACTGATTACACTCTTCAAGTTGTGCAGCGATTCTCACTCTTTCTTCAGAATTGTTCCTCCCCCATTAACATAAACTCATTGCTCCCTAAGCTTCCTATCTAATCTTTCCAGTTGTTATCAGTTTGGTCCCCTATGGATAGTTCTTTAGAACAGCCCAGTGCTCAAGGCAGACATTCTTTATTAATTAAGCTAAACTATTGTTTGATTTAAAGAAGACTTCAGGGGATATTTTTGGTTTAAGGTTTAAAGTTTAAAGATTATATCAGGGCAGTAGTTTTGGTGGATCGTCTAGCCTCATTGGCTCCAGGAAGTTTAGATTCCATGAGAATTTGAAATTGTTTCATATCCCCCCCTCTTTTGATCAGGGTTCCTCTATGGAATCTTTGATCAAAATGTTCAGTGATGGTAACTGGGCACCATCCGGTTCTGGTCTCATGGCAGATTAGACGGTTGTTCATGGAGGCAATTAGCCATGCATTCCATTTCTTCCTCCTATTCCTGACTCTCCTTCCCCTGTTGCTCCAGGTGGATAGAGACCAGTTGTACCTTGGATGGCTGCTTACAAGCTTTTAACACCTCAGGCAGTAGTCTTCATTATTTAACAACTAAAAAGTGAAAATGAAGTCTGGAAATCTCAATATGTTCGAGCTGACATTCATGTAATAGTTGATTTTATCCACTGGATAAGAACTTTTTTTCACGTAACATTCCCTGTTTTGTATTTATTTAAGGTTTTTTGTTTAACTAAAATTTTGTTTCTCCATTGCCAGTAGATACTTTTCTGATGTAAGAGGAAACAGTAATTATAAGAAAAAATTTAAATTTTTTATATTCTTTTATTAATTTTAGGAGTTAAGAAGTCTCCATTCCTTTCCTCCAAACCAGAAGACTTTGTTCCCTGCATATAAAGCATGAGATATGTTGGTTAGAAACAACTGGCTCGTGTTTAAAACTGAAGAGTTTCATGATTATTTAACCTAAGTCCTGTGCTAAAATGCGATGAACTGTCTTGGAAACACTAATCTGGGTAAGTATTTTTAATAATAATTGATAATAATAATAATTTAATAATAAGTTATTCATACAGTAATTAAGGTTTTCATACTTGAGAAATAAAAATGTGTGGTAAGAGAAGACTAATAGAAAAAGATCTGAAATTAGAAAAGTACACCGTTAAAAATGAGTAAATCAGCAGTAGAACCATGTTAAGGCTTATGCATCTTACTATTTTGAGGTTAATAGTTCAGAAATTTCAGTAACTTGTGGCTAATAAATCTAGGGTTGAGGCAGTCATTTAACCAATAAAAGTTACACATTTAAATTTTTTATTTATAAATTGATTGCAATCAGAATGCTCAAAAAGCATGTTTAATTCAGAATATGCCTTGGTGCAGTACTAATGTGATTGTCAACTATGCCTTGTTGCTGCTTATTACATTGTTTCTATGAGAAAATGAATTCTGTGTTTAAATCCCTGGAAGCCAGTCAGGACACCTGGATTTGCCATTTAGAAATACAAGGATCCAAGTACCAGTATCTACCATCTAAATTCAAATAACAGAAGGTTAGTCATTCTCCAGATACTCTAAATGAAGAGAACAGAATAGTTGTGAGCCACGAACTCTATTCTCACTCTTCACCTAGGAGGTGTATATTGTTACAAACCAGAGAATACATGTGATTAAATGCCAAGTTTTTTGTTTTAGATTGTGGTAAAATATATATAAGACAACAGAAAAATGCCAGTTTAGCCATCTTTAAGTGCACGATTCAGTGGCATTAATTATATTCTCAGTGTTGTGCAACCATCACCACTACTTCCAAAACTTTTTCATCACCCAGATAGAAAGTCAATACCCTTTAAGCAATAACTCCCTATTCCTTCCTAGTTTAAGCCCCTGGTAACCACTAATAATCTTTGGTCTCTATGCATTTGCCTATCCTAGATATTTCATATAAATGGACTCATACAGTATTTATCCTTTTGTGTCTAACTTATTTCACTTAGCCTAATTTTTCAGGGTTCATCCATGTTGTAACATATATCAAAAATTCACTTCTTTTTATGGCTTCATTTTTTTATGGTTTCATTTCTTTAATATTCCATAGTATGGATATACCACATTTTGGTTATCCATTCATCTGTGGATGGACACTTGGGTTGTTTCCACCTTTTGACTACTGTGAATAATACTGTAAGAAACATTAGTGTACAAGTATCTGTTTGAGTTCCTCCTTTCAGGTTTTTAGGGTATATACCTAAGAGTGTAATTGCTAAGCCATATGATAATTTTATGCTTAGCTTTTTGAGAAACTGCCAAACTGTTCCACAGTGGCTACACCATTTTATATTGCCACCAGCAGTGCGTGAGGGCTCTAATTTCTCTACATCCTCACCAACACTTGTTGTTTTACATTTTTCTGATAATAGCCACCCTGATGGGTATGAAGTCATATCTCATTATAGTTTTGATTTGCATTTCCTTAATTTCTTTGAGCATCTTTTCATATGCCTATGTCGTTTGTATATTTTTTTTTAGAGAAATATCTTCTAATGTAAAATGATTAAGTAACTCACATCATAAGCAATGTGATTACTCAGGTATAGCCAGATTATTCAGCACCACAGAGCTAAACTGTCGATAGCATATATAAATAAATGTGTCAAATATGTAACAAAAGTTACTTCAAATCCGAAAGAATTGAATTGATCTCCAGTTCAAGTAATTTGTTTAGAATTTCATAATTTCATCAGAGAATTTTTTAGTTATTTCATTTCGAATTGGCATTTATAAATTGATTTTAAGTTAAACATCTTTTTAAAAAAATATTTTACATTTTGAAAGATTTCATTTTACGTTAAATTTGGTCACAGTTTTGGTTAGTACACAGATAATCTGTATTACACATGACCTGTTATTTAATATGAGGATTATTGTAAATATTTTTAACTAGTAAAATAAACATGGCTGTGATTGATACTTTAAAGGTAAATAAGACTGTAAGTGAATAGATAAGTATGTTTCATTACTTCTTTCTTTGGATCTGTAGTTTCATCTTGAGTTCTCAGAGTCATCCCCCCAGGAACACAATAATACTATGAAAGTCCTTTTTAGATCTTGTTTTCAATTCACTTAAAATATTCGAATATAAACTCTGCTTCTTAGGAAAAATTACTTACATAGTGGTATTAAAATGTTTAATCGTTTTCACTTGTTTTTATTCATCCTTTGTCTTAGCAGATTTCTGTTTCATGGTTAACACTCAGTAACATTTGTTAAATAAGTGTAGAAGATAAAGTAAAACAGAGTGTGTTTAGGAAATAATCTTCTTTTTCAGGGTAAACCAAATCTGTTTCTGGAACCATGAAAATTTTGCTGGTTTTTGACTTTGACAATACAGTCATAGATGACAATAGTGACACCTGGATTATACAGTGTGCTCCAGAGAAAAAGCTTCCTGTCAAATTGCAAGAATCTTATCAAAAAGGATTTTGGACAGAATTTATGGGCAGAGTCTTTAAATATTTGGGAGACAAAGGCATAAGTGAAGATGAGATGAAAAGAGCAATGACATCAGTTCCTTTCACTCCAGGAATGGTGGAACTTTTAAACTTTATAAGAACGAATAGGAATAAATTTGATTGTATCATTATTTCAGATTCAAATTCAGTCTTCATAGATTGGGTTTTAAAAGCTGCCAGTTTTCATGATGTGTTTGATAAAGTGTTTACAAATCCAGCAGCTTTTAATAACAGTGGTCATCTCACTGTGGAAAATTATCACACTCATTCTTGTACTAGGTGCCCAAAGAATCTTTGCAAAAAAGCAGTTTTGGTAGAATTTATAGATAATCAGCTACAACAGGGAGTGAATTATACACAAATTGTTTATATAGGTGATGGTGGAAATGATTTCTGTCCAGTAACCTTTTTAAAGAAGAATGATTTTGCCATGCCACGGAAAGGATATAGTTTGCAGAAAACTCTCTCCAGAATGTCTCAAAATTTTGATCCTGTGGAATCCTCTGTGGTAGTTTGGTCTTCAGGTGTTGAAATAATTTCTCATTTACAGTTTCTAATAAAAGAATAATATCTCATCCGTTGAAATGTGTATCAGTTAAGATTAGGCTCAGCTGCATATAACTAAAACCTCAAGTACCAGTGCCTTTTAAAAAAAGGTTTTTTTCTTTCACTTAAAAGGTAAGTATCCAGAGGTAATATCTCAAGGCTGGTGTGTTACTCAACCAACCTTAGCACTTGGCTTCCATCTCATGATCCAAGATTACTGTTCAAGCTCCAGCCCTCACATCAGCATTCTGGCCGGCAAGAAGGTTACATCCCCTTCTTTAAGGAAGTTTACCAGAAGTTGCACCTAACACTTCTATTTAATTTCAGTTGGCCAAAACTTAGTTATAATACCCCACCTAATTGCAAGAAAGGATGGAAAATAAACCTTTTATTCTTGTGATTGTTCCCAGGTAAAAATTGGAAAAGAGGGGAGTACAGAATTGTAGGCACAACTAGCAGTCTCTACCAAAGGTGGTTGATAGGTAGATTAGATTTTTAAGTTTATTTCCAGAGAGAATAGTCGTGTATTTTACTTTCATAGATATTTATTTCAAAACCATGCCAGTAGATAAAAATAAGCTTGAGCTTTATTCACATAAGAATAAAAGGCTCCCAAATGTGTATAATGTCCCACTCCCAAGTCAGTGTATTTTAAAGATAGAAATGCAATATCGGTTTCCCAGGTTTTCTTCAATCTCAGGCTTTCCTTTTTGAAATGAAATAGAAATTAAATGCTGTTCAAATATTTTAATTTTTATCATAGCGTCACAGAATATAACTCTACATAGAATATTTAGTGTGCTGTTGTTATTTGGAAATGCAGTCTTGAGGGATACAATATATCATTTGTAGGAATTCTCAATATTTAAGAGACATATAGGAATATTTGCAAAGTATCAACTGATCTAGAAAGTTTTACAAATATATGCTTATTTTTAGACTCTCATTGTGTTTTAATTGTAAATATCCAGTATGTAATATGATTTTCTTTTCTAAATTAATGGAAAGCTTCAGAAGAAAAAGTATTTGGTATAATGGGGAAAAAATTTGATACTCTCTAAATCTTTTTTTTTTTTAAGTTTTAAAGTAAATATTTTGCTTTAAAATTGATAGGTTAAATTAGGTTGAAACATCTAACTCTTATAGATTATCATTTCCCTACATGGTGAGACCAGGGTCATACACAAGGGGAAGACATCATGTGAGGATCTGGTCACAAGGTAAGGAATGTCAAGAAACACCCAGTGCTACCAGAGCTGAAAGAGACAAGGAAGGATCTTTTCCTAGAGCCAACAGAACATAGTCGTACCAACACCCTGAATTCTAACATCTAGCCCCCAGAACAGTGAGAAAATAAAATTGTCCTTTAGAGCCACCTACTTTGTGGTATTTTATCACTGCAGCCCTAGGAAACTAAGACAAGTCATAGGAGTGACTAGAGAGGTAGAGTAGAGGAACCACCTGTCCTTCAGATGGGACTCTAGACTAGCTGTGGTAGGTGGAATTCTAAAATGGCCACAAGATATCTCCCCTGGTGTACACAACTTACAAAATGTCTGGGGCTCTGAATTTGTTGGATCTTATTTCTGTGATTAGGTAATGCAGTATGGCACAGTTGACCTTAAAATAGGGTGATGAGCTGAGTGTCCTGACTGAATCACATAGGCCCTTCAAAAGCAGAGAGTTTTTCCACCTGGTTGCAGTAGAGCAAGTTAGTGATTTGAAGCACAAGAAGGATTTGGCATGCCGTTGCTGACTTAAAGAGGGAAAGAGCCACGTGGTAAGGAAAGTGGATGGCCTCCACGAAGTCAGAGCAGCCCCTGGCTGATAGCCAACAAAGAAATGGGGATCTCAGTCCTACAACTAACTGCAACGAAATGAATTCCATGTGTTTGGAAGAGGACCCTGAAACTCAGAGGAGAACTGCAGCCTAGGCTGACACCTTGATTTCAGCTGGCTGAGACTCTGAGCAGAGAACCCCCAGCGACACCATGCCCAGACTTGTGTGAGATACTAAGTGTATTGTTTTAAGATGCTATATTTGTCGTGATTTGTTACCTAGAAATAGAAAACCATTACAGTAGCTAATCCCATCTCTTAAGGAATAGGTTGCCTAATTTTTCCCAGCCCGGCTTCTCACACACACATAAACATACACACTCTTTTTTTGTAATTATCTACATGTTGGGCAATCTCAAGGGAGCCCTAGTAGTGCAGTGGTTAAAGCACTGGGCTGCTAACCGAAAGATCGGCAGTTTGAACCCAGCAGCCGCTCTGTGGGAGAAAGATGTGGCAGTCTGCTTCTGTAAAGATTTACAGCCTTGGAAACCCTATGGGGCAGTTCTACTCTGTCCTATAGGATCTCTATGAGTTGGAATATGACTCGACAGCAGTGGGTTGGCAATCTCATGAAGTGTGAATTGTTCTTTGTTGCTCTGACTAGACAGTAAATGTCATTATGATGTATCAAAAGATGTTAATAAAAATGAGTTTCAAGAGTGATTTAATTTTCTGCTATTTTCTAATTATTTATAATATGATGTTTACACTTAAAAAAAAAAAAAAAAAAAAAAAGCAAGAACTCCTGAATGATGGAGCATACCCCAGAACCATCTACCAGTTAATGGACCAGAGCTAAGCTGCCCAGACAGGACTGGCTGCTATTTCTTTTTTTTTTTTTTTTCCTTTTTATTCTTTGTGCTGACTTCCCCTGTAGGACTGGCTACTAATTTGCGATGCCCAGTCAAAATGAAAATTTGGCACCCATTGTTCAAAAACTAAGCATTCCAAGACGGCAACAGCAGGGCCCTTGTGAACATGGGCCCTTGTGTGGCTGTGGGATCCAATACCCATAGAACCAGCCCTGTGCTTGGACCTTCTCCAAGATCTTCCAGGTAAAAGTTTTGCCAAAGACCATTTATTGCCGAAAGACCCCACTGCTGCTTCTGTTTGGGTGATATTTGCAAATTCCCATAATGCCATTATCCAGAGCAACTAAATCCTGTCAGAATTTTCTCTTTAAGTGTGTGTGTGTATGTGTGCTCTTTGACACAAGGCAGATTATTCTTACAATTATTATATTGCTTTTCTCAATTAAAATTACAGTGTGAGAACTTACCTTGTGTTAATATATAATCTTTAAGAATAAAATTTAGAATATTCACATATTGAACTTTAAAAGGAATGAAGAGTTAAATAAATTTAGGAAAGAATTGGAGGGGGAAATGAATAACGATTGAGACAAAATGGTGGGCTCATGGTGAGGAGCTGTCAAGGGGTGAAAATAGGTGTGCTTAGAAGCAGATTTTAAAAGCAGTTTTTCTTCAAAACATTGTTTTTCATGCTACCTGATAAGCATCTTGATTCATCATGGCAGTAGCAGTAAAATGGCTGATGTCAAACAGAACTATCTTGAAACGTTTATTTCCAATCCCAAATAGAATTTTATATTGTGTTTGTCATAAGTCTACATGTTATTTTATTCCAGATAACTATAATTGTGAGGTAGTGCTTGCTTGGACATCTGATGGTCGGGCAATTGATGCTACCATCCTTTTGTGGATATTCTGTATGTACACACACAGCCTATCCCTTGACCAGATCCTGTGTGTAATAATGAAGAAACACGTGATCAAGTGCTGAAAGCCCAGCAAGAAGAAAAAGATGAACACCTTTAACTAGGACCCAATACAGTACAACTTAGCAAAATGTTCTTTACTACTAAACACCGTTGATGTCCTCATGGACAATATCACAGATGTCATAGGAAACAGAATCCTCCAAAAGACAAGGTAATTTTGAGGTTGTCACTAGAAATCAAAGAAAAATGTTATCCTTTGCCTCATTTGCCACTTAAGAAAATGCAATCTGGTATATTCACTAATATGTAGTAAAGTACTAATAATAAAGTTTTTGTATTAAAAACAATAAAGAGCAAGTGAAAGACCCCAGCCCTCCAAAGAACTCATATAGCTAGATAAAAAGACAGTATTGAGGTCTGAAATAGTTACCGTATTAGGGAAGTAAGTATTACTACATAAACTATGGATAACTCATTTTCTCCTCAAAATATCTTACAAAATAATATTGCAGTTTTTTCAGATAAGAAAACAAGCTTGGTGAGATCACAACTAATAAAAAGAAGAGACTTCAAAACTACACGATAACCCCTGAAACTATGGCCTCCGAACACTCTGCTAACACAGAACTGAAACAGTTCCTGAAGCCTATTTTTCAGACAAAGATTAGACAGCCCTATAAAACAAAAAATAATACACGTGAGGAACGTGCTTCTTAGTTCAATCAAACACCCAAGACCAAATGGGCAGCTCCTGTCCAAAAGCAGGATGAGAAGGCAGGAAGAACAGGAACTGGACAAAGGGACACGGAACCCAGGGTGGAAAGGTGGTGGGTGCTGTCACATTGTGAGGATTGCAATCAATGTCACAAAACAATATAAATTTTTGAATGAGAAATTAACTTGAGCTGTAAACTTTCACCTAAAGCACAATAAAAAAAATTTAAAAAATTAGATTAAAAAAAACTACATGATATGAAGTCATAGACCTGTTGCTGTCAATTCCAACTCATAGTAACCCTATAGGACAGAGTAGAACTGCCCCATAGAGTTTCCAAGGAGCACCTAGTGGATTCAAACCGCTGACCCTTTGGTTAGCAGACATAGCTCTTAACCACTATACCACCAGGGTTTCCAACACTGAGTCAGGAGACTTGAATTCTAGTCCCAGTTCTAACCGTTAACTAGTTGTGTGACTTTGGTAAATTACTTCACTTCTCTGGAATTCATTTTTATTTTCTATAAAATGACTGGATTGGGTAGTTTTTATCCCTAAATACCTTCCAGTTCTAAGATTCTTTAATATCGTTGTGAATTTAAATGGTCTCTAGGTCTGACTACATGGAGCTTTTTGAATCTATCCTTTAAGTCTTTATCCTATTTTTAAGGCCTTTAAGAGGTGGTTTTCATTTCACTACAATTTAAAAACCATCTGGAGATCACCTTGCTTGTAATTTTTAACATTTTAATATATCACAGGTTTGAATAGTAAATGTTGCTTAGTTTTGTTTTCTTTTAAATAACTATGATTTCTTTATCCAATCTTCAGAAATCTATTTTTATTTTTATAACTTTCCTGTGATCTACTCGCAAGTCCTCTCTGACCTTCAAGATTGTTCCTGAACTGGACACATTTTCAAGGATCAAGTCACTGATTATCCATCTCATTTTGCTCTTAAAAGCATTGCAATCTCTTTTTTTCCCTCAGTGTATTAAAGCAATGCTTCTCGGGATCATGTTAAGATGCAGATTCTGTTTCAACATGTCTGGGGTTCAACTTGTGATTCTTCTGCCTTGCTAACTCATTTGCAGGTAAGGTTGATGCTGCTGGCCCCATGGACCAAACTTTGAGGAGCTGGGTATACTTTAATGAAATGTGCCTTGTTAAAGAGGTTTTTTTTAATAGCCTAAAACTCTGCAATCCTATATAGTAGCAATTCACAGAATTGTTGTGGTGCAGTGGTGTATTTTTCCCGAAATGCTCCCAGAACATGCCTCAGTTCTTCATGGCTACTACAAATACTTCAAATACTTAGATGCCTCTTGATTGTCTCTTCTGCTGAATCTAGCACTATTTCCTATAAAGACAGTAAGAATCAGAAAGCAATCTTGACTGGCCTATAGGTCAAGTCTGGGTGCCATAGAATCTGAAATCCAATTCAAGCCCTAAAAGTAAATTCAACCAAACCAGAAAAACCAAACCCATTGCCATCAAGTTGATTCTGACCCATAGCAACCCTATAGGACAATAGAACCTGCCCCATAGGGTTTCCAAGGAGCAACTGGTGGATTTGAACTGCTGATCTTTTGGTTAGCAGCCATAGCTCTTAACCACCGCACCATCAGGGCTCCATAATCCAACCAGGCCCCTCTAAATAAACAGCCAAAGGTGATAATGTTCAAGCTTACCTGCCACAGAGTAACCTGTCGTAGCTCCTGTGCACTTGCTCATCAAGGAGGAATTACTAGACACAGACATAAACTGCTATAGAGGGACCTGGTGTAGTAAGTGACTTAATGCAGGGTTTCTCAACTCCAGCAGTATTGACATTTTGGGCCAGATAATTCCTTGTTATGGGGGGATTTCCTGTGCATTGTAGGATGTTTGCCAACACCCCTCTGGCCTCTACTATTCAATAGCACACCCTCTAAGTTGTGACAACCAAAAATGTCTCCCAGCATTGCCAAAAGTCGCCTAGGGAATAAAATTGCCCCCATTTAAGAACTGCTTATTTAATGTTTAAAAGTCCATTACTTGGATCAGTTGTATGTACTAAACTGGTTTCTCTTAAAAGCTACTGATCCAGAGTGTTTTTCTCCATCTATAAAAATTTCTTTATTACTCTGTCACAGCACAACTATCATCATCTGAGTGTTTAATAAATATTTTTAATCCCTAACTCAATCACCTACTTCTTGTGTTGGATACATATTAGGTTTGTTTTCCTACCCAGTTATTATATGTATTAGGGCACACATCTATTAGTTTAAATCTGATTTTAAAGTTCTTTTGTAGTGCAAGCTAAAATTACACCTCAATTCTTCCCTTTTTAAATGCTATCTATGATATGACAATGTATTCATTTACTTTTACAACATTCGAATTTTGTAGCTCCTGCTTGAAACTAGCTCTCCAGGAGAGTTAGGAAAGATTTTCCATTACAGTCTCATAAGCTGCTTCATAAGACAATTGTAGGCAGGCACTAGACTGGGTAAAGTGGCTCTGTTAATAGAGGGAGTGGGATTGGAATTCATAGTAACTTTCCTTTCAGATAAGATTTTTTTCAGAAAATGGGAGGAAGAGTCCTTTATTGACCCACACTACATCTTGATGAGATTGGTTGTAGGGAGTATATAGTTAAACTGTAATGGATTGACCAAACCCTTTTCCCTAATACAGTGTCTAATTTTGTACGTCCGGTTGGGTATCTATTTTTAAATGGGCAGTGTGATAGTTCTGTTGTAGACAGAATTTTCAATGTGCTCTATAAGAACTTATGGAAAAATCTGTCTTGGGCCAAAAGCTAAATCTATCCTATTTGTTTGCCCAATGTTTTTGTGATGAAGGTTCATATGGAAACAAAATATTGACATGGATGTTTCCTAACACAGAAATTCTTAGAAATTCCCATTGTTTATGGAAGATGTTACTTAGCAAAAAATTAGTTTGTCTTTTATATTTAAATGACAAATTTTCTGTCACATATATATAAACAACTAGCAAAATATATTTACAATTAAACTAAATACCAGTTGCCGCATAGTGTTTTATAATGAGTTCAAAATGGAAACCTTGTTCATTCACATTCTTTCTACCATTCTACAGTTATACTCTGGATTTTGTTAGATACCAAAAACACAACTCTTTTCTTAACCTGGTCCAAGCAATATTTTATTATCCTCAGTTCAACATGAAAGAATATTCCTTGGAGGATCTATTGATAACTTAGCCCTGGACACATTTAAATCTAGAAAAATATTGCACAATTTTTGATGC